AGTAATAAATCACACAGCAATAGTGCATTCACGTTGTTGTAAAAAGCATGATAATATATTAATTAATCCAAAGTATTCAGAATACGTTAGTGTCATTGAGTAACGTAACGCAATACGTTAGAGAATACATTTTGGGGCATGTATTCTGTATTCTGTAATGGAATACCTTTTAAAAGTAACCTTCCCAACACTAAGTCCAAGTGTATAAAACCCCTGTGATTTGTGTATATAGACTGTTCCACGGACCCCCTCTAACCACTGCTAAGATGGTACATTCCTCCCATCCTTTGTTTGTGTTTGCGCTGGTTCACCGTGATAGCGCTGGTGGAGCTGGGCTGTTGTACTGAACATGTGTAGTGCGTGTGCGTGAATGATAAGTAAGTGCCTTGTATTTGTTTGTTCTATGGTTGTAACTTATCATATACTTAGCTATGTACATTGGGTGATGCTTAGTAGAGTTTTCCAGCTGTTCGTGTAGCCACGAGACAATGTATATTCACGCTGATTTGACCAAAATGGCGCTACCCTTGTGAACTGAGCTGCCCAAAGTAAAGATGGAGTATATCCCTGTGCAGCAGCCCATTTGTGTCCACCAGGGGGTGGTGTTTAATCATTTCTGTTCAACCCTTTCTGTATTATTTAGACCAGTTTGGTTGACTTTAATTGTCTGCTAATTGTAATTTCTGTTATTTTTACAGAACCACACATACATATACTCACACGAATTCATTTCTGGAGATGTTTGGATTAAAGGAACCCTAATTATCATTGCTGTGGACCCTCTTTTTCATCATATAAGTCACCTGTGCCGTCTGACCGAGGATAGGAAAATCCTGCTGTAATTTGCCAGTCTATTAAGCACACACATGTCCAGTTCAGTGTTGGTTGTTAAGCATATCGTGGGAATGCTTTACAACCATTCAGAGATGAACTTACACACTTGCTTTAATTCTCTGGGATAGCTTGCTCAGAGATGTTCAGAGGTGGTTTTGTGATATTTAATCGATTGGATCACATTTTTATTTCTCCCTGATATCCGATCCAGTAACTTAGGTCAGGATCAGACTGATAGCAATTGGGTCAGTCCATTTCTAGGAGATACCACCACGGTCTCGCAGAGAATCACATCAACCACTATTCCTTAAATATTTACGTGATGAATTATTAGTTGAAGGTGTGGGAAACGGGGGGAGACCAGGAAGGCAACTCAATAGAAATGAGCCTCCCAAATCATTTGTGCAAGATGACCCCAAAACACTTGACAGTCACTCTGTGAGGTAATGGCCTTTTTAATTATTTTGTTGTTATTTTATACTTTTTAAAATTAAGCTAAAAAAGAGGTGCTCAAATGAGGAAGAAGAAAAGAGAACAGAATATTTAGGACTGCCAGGACCTTCAGTTTAAGCACTGTTGTCTTTGATTGTTGTTTATGATGCTGAACACAAGGCCCAGAAGATGAAGTCATACCGAGTAATTTGTGATTTTCTGAAGGTATTTGTACACTGTTATGACCTACATGTTGAAAATATGTGCTTATACTCTAATGGGTATGTAATATATCTAGAAGCTGGTCCACTGAAATAAGTCAGGTGCAGTGGTTAATGTGTTTTTCTTGTTTGTTTCAAGCGTATGTACTTGATATTTGACTTTCTTTTAGAAATATAAATATTCAGCTTTAGGCATGATAATAAAGTGACTCGTCCTATGACCTTCCCCATGGTGCTAATCCAAAGCTAGAATGATGCTATTGATTGAGAGAGAGAGAGAGAGAGAGAGACTGAGGCTCAAAGATCATTGTAACTGATAAATAACATAAGTGGGGATTCAAAATTCAATTCATGAGTCAAATAATATTTTTATCATATCTTTATTCTGTCTTTATTTACTGATTCCTTTGATATTACTCAAAGGTCACTAGGTGACGCATGGCGCTAAGTAGAAATGGAAACCCCCTTAGATGCAAGTTCTGCAGTCAAGCTGTAAACAAGCTCATGTCATATTCATCTTTCTTTTAAAATACTGGCAACATACCCCTCATAAAGGCACCATCCAGATCACTGTGTCTCATGTACAAAACCCTTATCATCTCTCACAGAAATCCTTAAAGCAGTCCAGTCATATTTACCTTTTAAAACTGATGATAACATCATAGCATCATTAAAGTGTCTCTGCTAATGTTAGGATATTTTCAGTGGGCTAATATTAGTGCTGAAACAATGGGGTCAAATGTAAACGTAGCCATAATAGAGCTTTGCTCTGAATATTAACACCTACTCTTTAGGAGAATGTCGGAGGCATAAACCCGTATGCACATGTAAATATAACTCTGGTAACTCTGGCAACACTGTAGATCACAACTGATTTAGTTCAGTGCTATGAATCCAGAATAAAAAAGTGAATGTGAAATGACTACATGTTGTGTTGAAGGCAGCGCTAGTGTGACTTTCTGGTTATAAATGGAATTACTGAGGTTTAACCCATATAACAGCAGATTGGAAATATTTAGAGTTGTTTCCAGTCTGTTTTTGTGTCTGATGCAAAACATCACTGAGTTCAGTGTTTGTCTTTGTGTCAGACTGTGAGAACACAGCTCTGTTGTTGACTCTGGTGTCACACCAGTTTAATATCTGTACAACTACACGGTGCAAAATATTCATTTAGTCAGTGCTTTGTTATTGGTGAGGAATTCCAATGACTTAAAGCAACTTGAGCTTTCCTATAGTGCTACATGAAAATTTAGTTATAAGCTGTTAGTATTACTGTGACTGACTAAGCCATCACTGGTATAATGTAAGTATAACAAAGGTGAATGTTAAAAAGCTACAAATAGATTTGAAAACGTCAGTCTGTGTTCTCTTTCACCTACTACAGCAACAGCTCTGCTTCTCTATTTACAATCTTTACATAGTTGTTTTACAAAGGTCATACAGGAAGCATCTATTGGTTGGTCTCCGGCAAGACATCATGGAGGTCAGAGCTCTGTGCATCAGACTGTGTAAGTACTGTCTCAGTTTATACATGAAAATTAAACTATAAAGAGTTTGTTAAGGTTAGCAATGTTGTTAAAAGGCTGTGGTTATTTAAAGCTTTCATGTAGCAGAAACTTTTGGTGACACCTTAGAAACGTAATAAGGAATAGCAACTGTAACTCTAAGAGTTGGCATGTTTGACATCTTTTGGTAACAATTTTTTTCTCTTTTCAGTGATAATTGTGCTGATCCTGCAGTGTGCACATGATCAGAAAGTTGGTGGGTAATATCTGTGTACTTGTTATCATTTTGCTATAAGTGGAAAATATGATTTATTTAAACACAAAAAAGAACATTTTAGTCAATCACCATCTTTACTGGGTTTAGTCACATTTTATTGCATATTTTATTGGCTATCATAGTTTTCATTTTGGGTTTTTTATTGTAAAACTAAAACCCAGGAGTTTGTTAATTTATTAATAAACTGAATCCATTTTTGTTTTTTTGGTCATTTTTTCTCAGATGCAGTTTCTCTTCGTATTGTTCCAAACAAATCCCAGTTTTTTGAATATGAGTCAGCCAGCTTTTA